TGCTGGAGCTCCCTGCCAGGTAGGACTGACTGTGCCGTACAAAAGTCTTGGCCCTGCAAGTGGAGAATGGTGGAGCTGGGAAGGATGAGGTGATGCCAGGGAAGTTCCAGCTGCTGTGACTGGCAGAGCTTTTCCCTTTGAACCTTTTCAGAGCCTTGATTACCCAGCTGGTTCAATGAAGTGTTGCTGCTGTTGGGATGTTCACCTCCTGCATTTTAATTGTATGGTGAATAGAGGAGAGGCTGCAGAGGAGAAACACACTCCTGGAAAGCTCCCTGCTGTCACATCCATGCATGCTTGGGTTTTATAGATTCCTTGCTCCAAAAAGCTGAAAGAAACGCTCAGATTCTTTGTGGTTTCTTGCCCTTCTGTAATCTTGCTTGACGGTTTTTCCTTGGGATTTTTAATGCACAGTTTCAGTACAAGTGGGGATACGTGTGGGGATTACATAACCCTGGGGATATCAGTGGGAGACTGGCTGCATTTCTGGGCAGGGATGAAAATCAGGAGTTCTGGAATGGTTTGTGTAAGGTGTTTGCATAGGTGCCTGTGAGTACTGTGGGTGTTTCTATTCTGAGAAGAGGTGCTTCCTCAGCTGGAAGGGGAGGAGAGGTCAGTGGAGCTTGGGGTAAAATGGTTGCTAGTTGCTGAAATGAGCTGACGTGAAAAGCACCATTTGAGAGAAAATGAATCCATTTTGGGAGCAAATGAAATAATGTTCTCTCTATCTTCCTGCAATCTCGGTGGAGCAGAGAAAGCTGTACAAATTCCTGCTGGTTTTGGTGTGTAACAGCACAGAAATCTCGCAGAATCATAGTTCTGTAGTGTGATTGGAACAAGCAGAGAAATGTGATAGGAGGAGGAGATTTCTGCAAGGAATTCCTGCTGACTGTCATTTCACTCAGCATTTGGCAGTGTCACTGATTGCTCCTGCAGCTCCAGGCTGGATTTTTTTTTCCTTAATCACTTTACAGAGCAGTCACATATTCCCCTCTCCTTGGAGCGTGGCCGTGGCTGTCTAATTAACAGAGATCCTCCTCTTTTTAGGGAGATTTTTGGTTTCCAGAAAAATTCTGTGTGGTTTCCAGCCAGCATTCCTTCTCCCACTGGGTCTCTAATAGCTCCTGAATTCCCCAGCTTGTAATCACTGCTGCAGCCAGATGGGGACTAGGTGGAACACCTATTGCATCTGTGCCTGCATTTATGAATCTGCCCGAAGTATCTCACTTAGGTGAGATTTTAGATCTATATTTCATGAGTTAATGAGCCCTGCACAGCGATGAGGAGGATCCAGCGCTGGTACTGGCGGGGTTTCCATCCCTCTCCAGATCCTGGAGTGATGCTGATGGAGCAGGGAGAGCTCTGAGGACTCATTCAGCCTGACACCAGCAGAGCAGAGGCTGCAGCTCCACTTTACCAGCTGATGGTGCTTTAAGAGGTTCTTGGATTTAACAGGCTCTCCTTGCTCCTGCTTTTCTGCTTCATTGCTCTCCTCGTCTCTTCTCCCTGTGGAAGGAGCTGTGAAAACTGTGTGAGGTTTGGATTTTCTTTGCTTTTCCTCCACTCCCTCTCCCTTCCCACCCTCCTGGATGATTTTGGAGCAGAGTTGCCCAAATCAGTGATGTGGGTGGCAGGATTTGGGGAAGAGGAGGGGGAGGAAGGGCACAGGATGCTCCTGAATTGGATGTCAGCACAGCAGGGTAGTAACACAAAAGAGCTGCCTGAATTACTCGGGGCTGTTGTGGTGCTCCTGGCTGTGCTGAATCCAGCACTGCAGCTGGGCTGGGCTGGGCTCTCCCTCCTGCACTCACCTGCCTGTGCTGGGGCAGCCTGAGGGCAGCAATCCCGAGGCTTGTGCTGCATTTTGGGATGTGCAGCCCCAGTGCTGTGTGTGTGTGAGAGCAGATGAGTGAGTGCCCTGGGGGTGCTGTGGGTGTGGGTGTGGATGGATTGATGCTGCTGGTGCTTCCCACCTGCCTGCCCTGACCCATTCACCTCCCTTGCTGGAGTATCCATGCTGTCACTTCACCCTTTCCTGGAACAAGTTGTGATGAGCTTTGCTGTCACCCTGGCTCGCTTCTCCCCCAGCAACAGCAGCTGTGATCCAAGGACAGGCTCCTTTGGCAGGAGGGAGAGGGAAGGGGTGATTTCCACCAAGCTCCAAGAGGCTTGGAGGGAAGCAGGAGCCTTTCCACTTGCCCAGCTCCTGTCAGAGAAGCTGGAATCTCTCACTGGTCCAGCTCCTCTCAGGGAAGCAGGAGCCTTTCCACTTGCCCAGCTCCTGTCAGGGAATATCTCCACTAGTTTAGTTCCTCTCAGGGAAGCAAAAGCCTTTCCACTTGCCCAGCTTCCTGCAGAGAGTCAATCTGTGGATGCCACAAGTAAAATGCTGGAAATAATCATTTTCTCCAACCATTATTTCATTAAGGCTTACTGGAATTGGAGGCATTTTGTTCCTACCAGTCTTGTGTCCTTTTGCAAAAAGGGCTTAAAAGATTTCTTCTGGATCTGATGAGAATCATCCCTTCCTAGGAGTGATCTTAAACAGTGACTCCAAACTCTGCAAATCCATCCAAACTGCTCCTTCCTCCAGGCTGCTCTTCCTGGGTGCAAAAAGAGCAGTTGCTCTGCTCAAAGGAGATTATTTCCTCCTGACTTATATAAGTTCTAAAATAAGAAAATAAATCCCAACCTTGTCAGCAATTAAACCGTTTTTCCAAACTCAGGAATGATCCCTTTTGAAGCAGAGATTGCTTCAGTGAATTGTCAGGAGTGCCTGGAGAAGGGAAATCTCAGCTGTGACACAAGGGGGGCAGCTCCATCCCAGGCCTTGGGCTGTCATCCCTGCCATAGGGATGTTCTGGGGGAGAGGGACAACAGGAAATCTGAGTTTTCATTCCATCTTCCAGTGTGGTTTAATCCTTCTGTCCCAGATTTGGGCTTTTTTGTTGTTATTTTCCAAAACTTGGGGGTGAATGCAAGATCCTTGGCATGAAGGTTGGGAGTGACTCTGTTGAAGTTTGTGACAAATCTTACTGTTGTTTGGCTGAGTCAGGGTTTTAAATCCCATTTGATTTTTAAAAACCTCTCTGTTTATCAAATGACACCACTTGGGCCTGTGCTGGTAAGTGCAGATGAGCTTTAGACCCTGCTGATGAATTCTTGCCATCATTAAAAAAGGCAAAAAGAGCTGTAGGGTGAATGAGCAGCCTGGGCACCAGAGGGACCAGATCCTGTTGCTGGTTCTGCTGCAGGGGCAGAGCAGGTTGTGTCTGAGCAGTCTCTACTTCAGCCTTAACATTTGGTCCATTTTTAGGGGAATAGTTGGGGTTGTGGAGCTTGGGGTGGCTGTTGAGTTGTGTCAGCAGCAGCAGGGTCTGTCCTGTCACTGTGGTCCCTGCAAAGCTTTGGGCAGCAGCTTTAATGTGGGGATCAAACTTGGGGTGCAAAGAGTCTCTTGAAATGTCGACTCAAACTAATCTGGGCTCAGAATATAATTTAGTAATGTGTTTTTCCATGTTAGAATATAATTAAGAAGTGTTTTAATGACTCTGTTTTCTTTTTAAGTATATTAACATGTGAAGTCTGTGTCCTTCCATGTGTACAAGAACCTCAGTCAATCCAGCTGTTCTCATTTCCCATGAAATTTTGGTGTGTAAAATACAAACAGCAAAAAGGTGAAATCTGAATTTGGCATTTGGGAAAACTTTTCAGCAAGTGCCTTTTCTGTGAGAGCAGGCATTGGGTATTGTCTGAATCTGTGTGAGGCCACAAGGTGTTACCCAACTCAGGCTTTTTTATTCTTTTGGATCCCTGCATCCCTGTTTTATTCCACAAATAAACCAGATTCTGTTGTGGGGTTTTTTGTGTATAGGTTTTTTCCCTTTTTTTCCCCTGCCTTTACAATTAAGAAAACTCTTGCAATTTGCTGCAGGGTGACTTAAAGGCAGCTCCTGGAAACCTCCCATCCCTTTCTTTTGGTGGGTGGATGAGGAAAAGGAGTCACTGGGTGAGGAGAGGCAAACAAGGGAACAATTGCAGCAGGATTGCTGCGTGCTTGGCAGAACAGGAGCTGCCATTGTCCACAGTGCCCTGCTGATCTGCGGGGTTTGCTCTGAATGCTCAGGGCTGGTGCCTCCGGGGCTTTTTCCCTTTCAAACAGAAGCAGAGCTGGGTGGGGTGATGCTCTGGACAGGCCCAAGGTTTTGGGGACGATTGGAGTTTGCCCCGAGGTCTTGGGGACGATTGGAGTTTGCCCCAAGTTTGTGTGGATGATTGGAGTTTGCCCCGAGGTTTTGGGGACGATTGGAGTTTGCCCCGAGGTTTTGGGGACGATTGGAGTTTGCCCCGAGGTTTTGGGGACGATTGGAGTTTGCCCCGAGGTCTTGGGGACAATTGGAGTTTGCCCCGAGGTCGTGTGGATGATTGGAGTTTGTCCCAAGGTTTTGGGGACGATTGGAGTTTGCCCCAAGGTCGTGGGGACGATAAGAGTTTGCCCCAATGTTTGTGGGAACGATTGGAGTTTGCCCCAATGTTTGTGTGGATGATTGGAGTTTGCCCCAAGGTCTTGTGGATTACTGGAGTTTGCCCCGAGGTTTTGGGGACGATTGGAGTTTTTTGGGGACGATTGGAGTTTGCCCCGAGGTTTTGGGCATTACTGGAGTTTGCCCCAAGGTCCTGTGGATGATTGGAGTTTGCCCCAAGGTCGTGGGGATGATTGGAGTTTGCCCCAAGGTTTTGGGGACGATTGGAGTTTGCCCCAAGGTTTTGGGGACGATTGGAGTTTGCCCCAAGGTTTTGGGGACAATTGGAGTTTGTCCCAAGGTTGTGTGGATGATTGGAGTTTGCGTTGCTTCCCTCGTTGCCAGGGTGGGACAGCTGCCTCTGGAGCCTGGCACACCCCGAGGGGCTGGAGCTGCCAGGCTGTGCCCCCAGGGTGGGGTGTCCCTGGAGGGGTCCCCTGCCTGCCACGCTGCTTTCCTTGACTGGCTGTGTTGCAGAATCCCCCGAGGTCCTGTCCAGCAGCCCCTGGAGGATCGGATCTTCACTCCGACCGTCTCGGCTGTGTACAGCACTGTGAGTACCCAGGGGCTGGGCAGGGTGGGCTCAGGGCTGGGCACAACCCCAGCGCAGCCAGAAATGAGCCAGCAGAGAAAATACAGCTTCCTCTGACCCTGAAATAAATGGAGCTCAAATTTGGTGGCATGTGAGTAGGAAAAGAAAGGGGGACCCTGTGGCTTTCCACAGCGCAGCCAGGGGGAAGTCAGGCTCTGCTCCAGGGAACAAGGACAGGCCAAGGGGACACAGCCTCGAGTTGTGCCATGGGAACCTCCCACACTGATGTTGGGAAAATCTCTTTGCTGAAAGCGTGCTCGGACATTGGCACAGGCTGCCCAGGGCAGTGGTGGAGTCACATCCCTTCAAGGGCTCAAAAGATGGGTGGATGTGGCACCTGTGGGCATTGGGATATGGGAGAACATTGGACTGGATCTTGGAGATCCTTTCCAACCTTAATAATTCTGTCATTTCATGAAGAACCTTTTTAGTTGCATAGGAGCAAGATGGGAGAAATCTTTGAAAGACTTGTGGGTCCATTGCTGTTTTTAAGTGTCTGGTTTTATTCAGAATATTGGAGTATCACTGGAATGACACTCTCCATGTGTTTTGGCCATATTTTCATTTGGGTGACTCCATCTCTTTCCCTTCCCATGCATCTCACAGTCTGATTAATTTTTTGTGTACTAGTGGCTTCACATTTCTAACACCTTCTTATGAGAAAAATAATCAAGAAAGATTTGTTTTCACGTGAAAAATTCCATTGCACAGAGGAAGAAATATTTTGATAGTAAATAGAATATCTGGGATAGGTGCCTTTGGCTTGCTGTCCTAGATGATTGCTAATGTATAGTATTGATTATTGTAGAAATTTAGCTTAAAAAGTCATGTTTATTTGTGAACATGATGGTCTTTTCCTTTTATCTATTTCTTTTTTTCCAATGGCAATAGCTGGAAGCCCAGGGTTATTTATAAGCTTTGCTTAATCAGCACAGCCCTGGGAAAGTCATATTTTGCTTTTCTGGTTGGGATAGTACAAATATTTTTAATGCCAAAAAACCCTGCTTTTAAGCTGCTCTTTTAATTATTTGGAAAACAGGAAGAAAAGCTGTAGATGGGATAAATTCACCACGTTTTTTACAGAAACATAAGCTGCTTATAGAAAAACATAAGCTGCTGTGCAAGGTTTTCTCCTTCTCTGTTT